ATGTCTCGTCACAAATTGGCACAAGTATTGCATTTTTGCTTTAATTGCCACTATTTTTGTTGATCTTTTTGTATCAACTTTTGCGCTGAAAATATGCCAAATATAATGCTTTTTGTATGAATTGCTATGAATTGCTTGCATTTTATTTATAGATTCCGTTACAACACTATTAATAGTTTGTAACGACTCTACAATACAATCGTATTAACAGTTAAATACTTTATAATTTTAAATAGCGTTTAAAAGTTTCACTATTTTTTTGTTTGTATATAAATAAAGTGTCAAAACCTTGCGATTCACAAGAATCTGTGTTTTGAATCTAAAAATAAGTTTTTTAATTAATTAATGAAATATGGATTTGAAGGAAAATCAATGCATAGCTCAAGGATTAATGAATTTAGTTTTCAAACATCTTTCCTATCCTTTCAGTCCATGTGTTGAACACAGCTTTTGATATTCAATATTTGCTTATGTTTTGCGATATTTTTACTAAACTAATGGATACTTATAGCGATTGTATAGATTCGGTATGAATTGAGCCAATGATTGAATATTTATAATGTCTTAACTAAACCCTTCTTCAGGATTGCGACGATTCTGACAGTTATGAGAGTGAATCCAAACAAGTGATTGTCGGCATCTGTGCGATGGAGAAGAAGACAGAATCGCGTCCAATGAAAGAGATATTGACACGACTTAACGAATTTGAATTCATTAAGACTATTGTCTTCACCGAGAAGACAATTCTCAGCGATCCGGTGGACATGTGGCCGCTTTGCGACTGTTTTATATCGTTTCACTCAAAGGGCTTTCCATTAAGCAAAGCCATTGAATACGTGTCACTTCGGGAACCATTTATTATCAATGATCTTCACATGCAATACGACATTCAGGACAGACGTAAAGTGTACAGAATATTAGAGGAATCGGGTGTAGAGTTACCGCGTTATGTGGTTCTCGACAGAGACTCTCCTAATCCTGAAGAACGTGAACTCATTGAGAGCGAAGATCACATCGAAATCAATGGCGTTGTCTTTAATAAGCCATTTGTCGAGAAACCAATTTCGGCCGAAGACCACAATATTTACATCTATTATCCGACGTCTGCCGGCGGCGGAAGTCAGCGGCTCTTTCGAAAGATAGGCTGCAGAAGTAGTGTCTATTCTCCGGAAAGTCATGTCCGAAAAACAGGTTCTTATATCTACGAAGAGTTTATGCCAACCGATGGAACCGATGTGAAGGTGTATACGGTTGGCCCCGATTACGCTCACGCAGAGGCCCGCAAATCACCCGCACTCGACGGGAAGGTCGAGAGGGATAAAGAGGGCAAAGAAGTGCGATATCCAGTAATCTTAAGCAACACCGAGAAACTAAACGCGCGAACAGTGTGTCTGGCGTTCAAACAAACCGTTTGCGGCTTTGATTTACTCCGCGCTAACGGCAAGTCATACGTGTGTGACGTAAACGGGTTTAGTTTTGTGAAGAACTCAATGAAATATTACGACGACTCGGCGAAGATCTTAGGGAATATGATACTCAGAAATCTGGCGCCACAGCTGCACATCCCATGGCTTATACCCTTCCAATTGGACGATCCGCCGATAGTGCCCACGACTTTGGGCAAAATGATGGAACTCAGATGTGCTATCGCTGTCATCAGACACGGAGACAGAACTCCCAAACAGAAGATGAAAATGGAAGTAAAACACCCGAAGTTTTTCGAAATATTCGACAAATACGGCGGTTATAAAGACAGCAAACTTCACGTCAAGCTTAAGAAACCGAAGCAATTGCAGGAAGTGTTAGACATCGCGCGATATCTCATCTCCGAAATCGACCAAAATTCCGATCCGGAAATCGAGGAAAATAAGTCAAAACTCGAACAATTGAAGTCCGTTCTCGAAATGTACGGACATTTCTCCGGTATTAATAGAAAAGTTCAGCTTAAATATCAGCCCAAAGGCAGACCCCGTCAGTCCAGCAGCGAAGACGGTTTGACTGAATTTTGTCATATTTTTGACTTGTGATTGAAATTTGTATATTTGTTCAGAAAATTCTGGCGAACCTTCACTGCTATGTATAGTGAAATGGGGCGGAGAGTTGACCGCTGGCGGCCGCATACAGGCCGAGGAATTGGGCCGAGTTTTCCGTTGTATGTATCCGGGTGGACAAGGTATTGCTGTACTGCTAC